ATTTTTTCCTACAGTATTCACTGTAAAGTAAATTGACTAAGATCACATAGCATTAGGCCATTTCACTCAAAGCAGTGTTAGATACAGAGTTCTTCAGATCAGGAATGTACAAAAAATCTCTCTAGCTTCGCATGAACAAATGGTAGAGATTAAAAAAATGTTGCTCAATTTCAGCAAAAAGCAAAATACTCATTTATTTACTGTTCATATAAATACAACTATTTTGAAAATCAGCTTTCTGGAGACTGAACATCATAGTGCTATTCAGATACACTGTTGTATAGTGATTCTGTCAAAAAGCTAGAATGTAGCAAAATCCATTGTTTATAAATGTATTTTACACACACACACACACACACACACACACACACACACACACACACACACACACACACACACACACACACACACACCCCCCAAATACACTTGCCCGCGGCAAGTAGATTTTACCAGCTGGCGAGTGCAGGGGCGGACTGGCCCAGTGGGCTGTTGTGACGCGCAGGCCGAAGCCCATACTACAGGCGGTGCCGCCCCATCCGATCCGGTGGAGGAGCAGAGCGCCGCCAGGAAGGAGGAAGTGCGGCTATTCTCAGCGCTGGGCTGCCTGTGTGCAGCTCTGGCACGAGGAGGCAGGTTACGAGCCAGAGGGCGTCATGGCCAGTGACCGCCGGATTCAAAAAGGCTCCGGCAACCCCGCAAAGTGGAAGGCAGAAGCCGGGAAGGGGCTTGGGCTGTGCTGAGGGGAAGGGGCTTGTGCTGAGGGGAAGGGAGAGGTCAGGAGAAGAAGAAGAAGAAAGAGGAAGGTGTCATGATTATGAGGGTTACCCAGCAGCCTGGGGATTAAGGGGTTAACTACACCTAGCCAGGTGGAGTGACCAGTAGGAACGTAGGTGGGACTTTCAAACTGGGACAAAGGATTTTGGGGTTTTTTTCCTTTCTCCCTTTTGTCTCTCTGGGTGAGTTCTCTGCAGCTACAGGGAGGGACAAGAATACAGTGAACCCTCGTTTATCGCGGTAGATAGGTTCCAAACCCTACCGCGATAGATGAAAATCCGCGAAGTAGAAGTAGGATCCTCAAAGCCTCGGGGGAAGCCGGCGGGGGGGCATCCCAGCTTTTGAAAGCCGCGGAGGGGCTCCGGCTGGGGAGCAGCCCAGGCGCGCCTGGGA